TGAACTGTCTTGATCCGCATGTAGAAATGACTTAACTAAGTATTACAATTATTATTGGCTAGCTTTTACCCGCAACTCCGTCCGCGTGGAATAGTTACTTTGGCATAATGCTAAATTTTACCCCCACTTCATTTATTTATTTATTTATTTATTTAAGGATTACCGACAGGGTTTACAGTAAGACATAAAATAACATTGACATGTATAGAGCAAATGATAACTGCAACTCTAATTAGAGGCAATCACAGCATGCATTACATTAATATATCAATAGAGATTTAACAATACTATTAATAATAATAAAAAATTAAAAACAAAAGAAAGACAACAAGGACAGTAATACCCGAGTACTCAGACCAAGGCTGATGCTGAGGTTCAACAACAATTTTGTATTTATTTAGTTTAATTTAATTTAGTTGTTCTATGAAGAATTCAGTATTTATTGAGTAATGTCTAGGGCAATTATAAACATAAAATTTGACATTTACATTAGGAGAATAGTTTCAAATGATAATATCGTGTATTAAAATTTATTATATCACAAAATGTAGTTATTGATAACTTTGCTTGATTGTACGTCGGTGATACGTTAGTTGCTTAGTAAACATGTAAGTATAATAAGTAGGGAAGTAAGTGTAATAAGCCTACTTCTGCCGTAAATAATTCTTGCGTTTAAACCTAAGGACCGGGAAAGTCACTACAATACATTACAATACATTTTTTATGTCCATTGACTCTTGTTGCCCCTTAACACTGAATGGCCGATCATTATCCATCCAATTTAAGAAAGAAAGTTCCAAACTAAAGAGAAAGTTCCAAACTTAAGTTTAAATGTTGCATGCATTATAATATTATAATGCATGCCTTAATTTACTATGTATCTATTATTAAAAATTTAAACGAATGAGTTTTTTTGATATTCCCTAATACGATAAGTTTTCTGGCATAGGCCTCCCATAGACTCTGTCCTGTATAGATTGGACCAATGTAACTTTAAGGTTAGATTGATCTCACCTATTCTAATGGTTTTAGAAAGTCCTGTCTTCTAGCCACTCTTAGTTGCGGGACTACAAGTTTTTTTTTTTTTATTCTATCAGCCCATGGACATCCACTGCTGGACATAGGCCTCCCCCAAGCCTCGTCACAAAGACCGATCCTGCGCTGCCTGCTCCAGCGGATCCCCGCGAACCTCAATAGGTCGTCGGCCCACCTTGTGAGAGGTCTACCCACGCTACGTCTTCCAGTACGCGGTCCCCACTCAAGAACCTTCTGGCCCTGTATTATGGCTTAATACATGAACATTCCAAGGATCCGTTTCTAGCAACACGAAGGCATCGGACACGGTCAGTGTATTACAACATATAGCTGACATCAGTGCAGTCAACCTATTCAACGACCACTATTGTCGTTCTAATGTAGGCAACGACACATACGCTGTGAACCGTGAACTCAATGTTGAATAGTCGAATGTTTGACGATACCCAAAATTTAACAATAACATTAGGCAAACGAAAATGCTATTCGTGACTTAACACAATAAATTGGATTATAATATGACGTAATACAGCATCTTTGAAAATGTTATAGTTAATTAAGAATCCCTCTGTTGAGGTCATACATCCTATAGGTAAATATATAGATGCATCTGACGCGTCTTCGTGAATGATTCCCACGTTGAATTAGTTCTATCGTGTAATAATACCGTTTTACTTATGGTAGGACCTCTTGTGAGTCCGCACGGGTAGGCACCACCACCCTGCCTATTTCAGCCGTGAAGCAATAATGCGTTTCGGTTTGAAGGGTGGGGCAGCCATTGTAACTATGCTGAGCACCCCCGATTACTCTCTTTAGACAACTCATACCCTGGGCCAGGAAGGTCAAGTACCTGGGCGTTACCCTGGATGTATCGATGACATTCCGCCCGCATATAAAATCAGTCCGTGACCGTGCCGCGTTTATTCTCGGTAGACTCTACCCCATGATCTGTAAGCGGAGTAAAATGTCCCTTCGGAACAAGGTGACACTTTACAAAACTTGCATTAGGCCCGTCATGACTTACGCGAGTGTGGTGTTCGCTCACGCGGCCCGCACACACATAGACACCCTNGGGAGTGCTCTGAGGAATTGTTCGAGATGATACCAGCATCTCGTTTTTACCATCGCACCGCCCGCCACCGGAGTAGAGTTCATCCATACTACCTGGAGCAACTGCGGTCATCCACAGTGCGTTTCCAGAGATCTTTTTTGCCACGTACCATCCGGCTATGGAATGAGCTCCCCTCCACGGTGTTTCCCGAGCGCTATGACATGTCCCTCTTCAAACGAGGCTTGTGGAGAGTATTAAGCAGTAGGCAGCGGCTTGGCTCTGCCCCTGGCATTGCTGAAGTCCATGGGCGACGGTAACCACTCACCATCAGGTGGGCCGTATGCCCGTCTGCCTACAAAGGCAATAAAAAAAAAAAAATTACCGGATCTTCTTAATGGACCGGTGCTTGAGGTACCTAAAAGCACCGTTAGTGGATCGGGAGGATTCGAAATTACATCAATTATTGTACTACTTCTGCGATACTTCTCTCGCAACATTGAAAAAATAATAAAATAACCAACCACAAAACAAAATTACATCGTACAGAAATAAAAACGACATTTTTATAAGACTGGGATTCTTACAAAGATTTTACGAAACTAGAATTTACTACTTCAGACATGCAGAGTTTTAACAAGCTATTCAATTTAAAAGCTTGGTGACACTAAACCGCAGCGCGATCGTGTGGAATTCAAACCGTCCCCATAAATTGAATCTGTCTGTTGCAGAATCGTGAAAGGACTTGCTTTTCCTAAAGGCAAGGAATTTATAAGAATACCCATTTAAAGTTTTATGGTGTCTGGCTTAGAAAACTAAAGTAGCTTTGCGTCGAGAATCTTCTTATCAACAATTGATAGATAAAAGGACACGTTCAGTTCCCATTTAAGAGATAGCTCAATTGTAAGCTTCTTTAGGCCGCTCTCAAATCATTCTATGAACAAAATATAGTATTTTGAATTGTCTTGATCCGCATGTAGAAATGACATATCTAAGTACTACAATTATTATTAACTAGCTTTTACCCGCAACTCCGTCCGCGTGGAATAGTTACTTTGGCATGACGCTAAATTTTACCCCCACTTCATTTAGTTGTTCTATGAAGAATTGGGTATTTATTGAGTAATGTCTAGGGCAATTATAAACATAAAATTTTACATTTACATTAGGAGAATAGTTTCAAATGATGATATCGTGTATTCAAATTTATTATATCACAAAATATAGTTATTGATAACTTTGCTTGATTGTACGTTGGTGGTACGTTAGTTGCTTAGTAAACATGTAAGTAAGTATAATAAGTAGGGAAGTAAGTGTAATAAGCCTACTTCTGCCGTTAATAATTCTTGCGTTTAAGCCTAAGGACCGGGAAAGTCACTACAATACATTACAATACATTTTTGATGTCCATTGACTCTTGTTGCCCCTTAACACTGAATGGCCGATCATTATCCATCCAATTTAAGAAAGAAAGTTCCAAACTAAAGAGAAAGTTCCAAACTTAAGTTTAAATGTTGCATGCATTATAATATTATAATGCATGCCTTAATTTACTATGTATCTATTATTAAAAATTTAAACGAATGAGTTTTTTTGATATTCCCTAATACGATAAGTTTTCTGGCATAGGCCTCCCATAGACTCTGTCCTGTATAGATTGGACCAATGTAACTTTAAGGTTAGATTGATCTCACCTATTCTAATGGTTTTAGAAAGTCCTGTCTTCTAGCCACTCTTAGTTGCGGGACTACAAGTTTTTTTTTCTATTCTATCAGCTCATGGACGTCCACTGCTGGACATAGGCCTCCCCCAAGCCTCGCCACAAAAAAGACCGGTCCTGCGCTACCTGCATCCAGCGGATCTCCGCGAACCTGAATAGGTCGTCGGCCCACCTTGTGAGAGGCCTACCCACGCTACGTCTTCCAGTACGCGGTCGCCACTCAAGAACCTTCTGGCCCTGTATTATGGCTTAATACATGAACATTCCAAGGATCCGTTTCTAGCAACACGAAGGTATCGGACACGGTCAGTGTATTACAATATATAGCTGGCATCAGTGCAGTCAATCTATTCAACGACCACTATTGTCGTTCTAATGTCGACAACGACACATACGCTGTTAACCGTGAACTCAATGTTGTCAATAGCCGAATGTTTGACACAATACTCAAAATTTAACAATAACATTAGGCAAACGAAAATGCTATTCGTGACTTAACAATAAATTGGATTATAATATGACGTAATACAGCATCTTTGAAAATGTAATTAAAAATCCCTCTGTTGAGGTCATACATCCTATAGGTAAATATATAGACGCACCTGACGCGTCTTCATGAATGACTTCCACGTTGAATTAGTTCTATCGTGTAATAATACCGTTTTACTTATGGTAGGACCCCTTGTGAGTCCGCACGGGTAGGCACCACCACCCTGCCTATTTCAGCCGTGAAGCAATAATGCGTTTCGGTTTGAAGGGTGGGGCAGCCGTAGTAACTATACTGAGACCTTAGAACTCATATTTCAAGGTGGGTGGCGCATTTACGTTGTATATGTCTATGGGCTCTAGTAACCACTTAACACCAGGTGGGCTGTGAGCTCGTCCACCCATCTAAGCTGTAAAAAAAAAAAACATCAAACTCCCAATTAAACACTGTGCAAAGTCTGATAGTAGGGTGTATTATAATAACGCATTTCTCTATTTCTATTCATCTGTTTCTGGTTGTAGAGTTTGAAAACCGGCAAACTCTACAAACAAGTACCCACAAAAGTGGGTACTTTTGAATTACAACTAAGAATCAAAATAATGGCTCAAAGGGGTTGATGGCGTTCACATAATGTTCTCTATACATAACACCAAGTTGCGTGATCTAAGTCTACAGCATTAGAAATTATACAGACATAATATAAGGATTACCTTTCGTGCTCTCGACAGCGCAGTCAATCCTCCAAAGAAGCAACGCCGTGTACACAGTCAGAAGCATTTTGCCATAAGCGCGGGGCAGCTCAATTTTATGACCCATCTTTATGTGTACACGAATCGGCAACGCCGCCTTTCATAAGTGGAACGCGCAACATCACAGCGCGGCACCGCCACTTTGTTGCTCCTCAGAAAAGTTCCTACACTCAAATCCTGACAGTTACGGCTTTACACGTTTTTTTTTATGACGCAGTCTTTATTCCGGCGTTGAGGGGTCTACGTTGTTCGTCGGTGTCTGAAACAAAAGGGAAACATTGTTTAATATAACGTTCGCAGAGTTAAAGGGGAAGTGTAAAGTTTTAAGGCGAATGAAGAATGTAACAAACAAGTGATTGCCTCAAAAACGTTGACGAACGTTTCTTGTTTTTTTCACCCGTCGACCAAAATTCCTGGTCCATCTGGTGTTAAATTGTTATCGGAACGCACAGACAAACACAGCAATGAGGTTGACAATAAATAATATTTAAAAAAAACCTAACAAAATACGCTTTTATAGAAAATCCCGCAAAAAAAAAGAAAATAAATTTAAAAAAAATTAAATTAAAAATAGTGTAAGAAAAAATTTTTATATTGTAAATTGTTCATTTATTAGTTGAATTGAATTTTTTTAATAATTTTTTTACATCCCACCTAATGTAAGTGGTTACTCGAGCCCATAGACATCTACAACGTAAATGCGCCACCCACCTTAAAATATAAGTTGTAAGGTTTCAATATAGTTACAACGGCTGCCCCACCCTTCAAACCGAAAGGCATTACTGCTTCACGGCAGAAATAGGCGGGGTGACGGTACCTACCTGTGCCGATTCACAAGAGGACCTACCATCAGTAATTACGCAAATTATGATTTGGCGGGTTTGATTTTTATTACACGATGTTATTCCTTCACCGTGGAGTCAATCGTGAAATTTGTTAAGTACGTATTTCATTAGAAAAATTGGTACTTGCCTGCTGGATTCGAACACCGGCGCATCGCAAGATACGAATGCACCAGACGTCTTATCCTTTAGGCTACGATGACTTAGGTTATAGCTGTTTCTTATGAAAATTAGATATTAGTCAAAATTGTTCTATGAAGAATTCAGTATTTATTAAGTAATGTTTAGGGCAATCATAAACATAAAATTTTATATACAATTGTTTCTAGTGGAGCTACGCCAAATAATTGTAGTTGTACTTAGCACGTGTGCTGTATTGCGTACAAAGAGAAATAAAAGGCCTTCTTCCTAAATCAAGTTTCATTGAAACTAGCCAGCGACCCAACACGTATTTTGTGTGTCCACTACCCGAAACAAATAACAGCAACTATTTTAAACTTTCACGGCTCTCTACATTATAAACACCTTATCTGACCGCGACGGGGCAACACAAAGCCGCTGTCGCCCTAAACATGTCTTGTCGCACCCCCGGATTCACTCTCAGTGCTTTTAGGACTCTCAAGCACCGGTCACGGTCCTCGTCGAACTCGTCAATGACGACGAACGAACTAACTAAACCATAGACACAACCCACTGAGTTTCTCGTCGGAGCTGCTTAGTGGGACGCGATTCCGAGTGGTAGATTCTGCGAAGCACTACTCTTGCTAGGGCTAGTGTTCGCAAATTCTCTCAGGTTGAACCCGTGAGCTCACCTACCCGCCCGGGCGTAGCTGAAATTGCCTCTTAGCCTTAGCCACTACCAGCGAATAAGTAGAGATTAAATTATAAACACTATTGTTTAAGTCTATTAGTAATAATGACGATTGCAACAGCGTTAAAATATTGCAAGTTCATTAAATTTATAAGTCGTGGTAAGAACCGGTTAAATAATAATGTTTACAAAAGCATTTGCGGCTGTAATAACTTTTTAAACTAAAACAGTTCACTGTGTACGAAACTAGTAAATCCCGGGGAAGCTTCATTGTGTTTGTTGTAAAAATAAATCGATTTGTTGAGAGAATTGGCTGGGCGATGGTACTAAGCCAGCGAGACTTTCACTATGCAACAATCAAACAAAGCTTAAATGACGATTATAATATATCGAAATGCCAAAACACACTCAACATAATGACGAATTAAAAACACCTAAAATTTCAATCTAATTCAATAAATAAAGCTCCACGTCTGTAAGGGGTTAAGAACTTTTTATGGGCAACTTATTGTGCTCATAAAAGCATTTTCTTTTACTTGTCCGACGATCCGAGGTGGGAGTCCCGGGAATCTCGGCTTTCAGCCGTCATTTAAGAAAAGAATCCCATTACAGGAACGAAGGTACTTACGTGAGCAATTTTATTTTATGCCCCACCGGCCATCCCCATGTTTATTGTGGCGCGGTATTTACCCAACGCTACCTTTGAAATTGACTAAATTAGTTGAACAGATTCATTGTTTTCTCCTTTTTTATTTCAAGTTTCCGTATTCTCCCTCAATCATTCTATTATGAGTTTAATTTTGAAAGCTATAGAGTTGATTATCTAATAACGTATGTGAAGTTGAACAGTCTCACGGTTATATTGTAACATATGTCACTCATTTGAATACATTAATGTCTTAGTTGACGGCATGGCGCCACCGACCAAAAGTAGAGATTTATTCTGCTCTCAAAATAGTATGATTTTATTTGCGTTTTTATTCAGTTGTTAATTACTCCATGTTGATTGAAAATAAGGAAACATACTATAGTTAGAACTATTACTTTGAATCACCAATTTGAACACTATTTGAAAGTTAGATTACTCAATTTATGCTGTTGTAGTAGCAAGAATAATAAGGAAACAAAGTAACAAGCAGATTATTCTTTATTTATTTTCAATAATCATCATTTCATTATCAGTAAACTTTATTTAATTATTATTATATTTGGGCCTCCTTTTAAGTAAAATTAAAATGCCAGGAAAGCCTACACTTCAATTTCCAAAAAACAAGAACTTTTTTACGATAGTAATTTTACACAAAATTTCGACAACAGAAAAAAACTGTTACTAAAATATAAAACTATAAACAATAGATATGAGACAAATCCGTGTGTATTTGAGTGTATTTTTGTGAGAATAAATATTTTATAATGACCACCAATCTTCGATCAATAACCTATTATTGATCGAAGCCACCAATGCACTAAGTAATCTAATCAGTGTCTTTTTGACGAAATCATTTTCGCAGCTTGATATTGTTTAGTTCAATATTTTCAGTATTCGCAAGTAGTAGTCATAATTAACATCATTCCAAGAGTGTGTCCACCAAAACTACAAATTATTTGAACCGTTGGAAATTTTAAAATGTAATTGAGATATCTCCGATTAAACCCTGGAAGTTGATTTAATAGTTTATATTGTTACGCGCTGGGGTTCGGGATAAATAAAATTCCACCAAAGTACAACTAAGAACTGTACTCAACACTTAGAACACTTAAAACAGTTCACAAACAATTTAAAATTCTCAATTCGTTTCTTCCGCTTCGCTTCAGGTGATCCGTTCGCTGTTTCGCTTCGAGTAGTTCCGATTGCTGTCTGCCTGCGTGCCATCTCTGCAACGCTTTTATAGCTGATACGACATCCCTAGAATTATCGAGAACATTCCAAATATATCTAGATATTGTGTTTCCGCTATCTGACAATAGATGGCGTTGTACGTCTCGAGCGTTCTAGGTGCTACTAGATCCTTCGATATCCATTCGACTATTCGGCGATAAATGGCGTTACTCTTACCGGCGTAACAATATTATCGATCTACTCGTATAACTTAAACTACACTTATTCTTATTATAATAATATCAAATTAACACGCGAGCAGGGAGCGCTGGTCGTTCAAACAATGCCTTCAAGATTAAATTTCGAAACGCCATGGAGTGCCGAGTCTCCGACCTAGCAGTTTGTAATTCATCATGTTTCGTTGTACAGATATAAAAAGAAACGAGAGTACACAAGTTCCCAAGGGAGCTATTCTTGTGCCGTCGGCTGCTGGGGTTGGTATTCTTAGATAATTAACTCTTTATGGCTAGGGACATCTGTTTACGGCCACGTCGCTACTGTTTTATTTATAGCGACAGCTCGAGCTGAATACTTAATTTTTGTAAATTTATTTTCCCTGATGAAGCTGTGGCGATGGCCGACTCATGTTGTGCCGTGAATCTTTTAATTTGACATGGAACAAATCGCGCAGTTCACAGTTCAAAGTCCTCGCCATAAAACACGATTTTAATATTTATAACGTCTTTGTTGTTTATTTTACTTTAATGGGATTTTTTTTAATGATTAAATAGGCCGCTACTAATTATAACTCTTGCTTTCAAAGTAAATCACTATTATGAATTAATCGCCCATAGATTCAATTACATATCAGTCGATTATGCTAATTAGTATCCACAAACCTAACGCTAGATGAGTCTAGATGGGTCATATCAGCTAAATGAGTTAACCTGTTAACCCAAGTTAAACCTAGTCTGAGAAATCCACGATTCTAATTCAATTTTGGGTTTCCTTTATTGAAATATATAAAAAAATGGATTCTAAATTAACGAATATATAGTATTAACGATTGAATAATGAATCATTTTAAAGTTTTTTAGCATCTTCGCAGGGGTTGCTCTTTTTTTTCATTCGTTTCTTTTTTTTATGGCTTAGATGGGTGGACGAGCTCATAGCCCACCTGGTGTCAAGTGGTTACTGGAGCCCATAGACATCCACAACGTAAATGCGCCACTCACCTTGAGATATAAGTTCTAAAGTCTCAAGTATAGTTACAACGGCTGCCCTACCCTTCAAACCGAAACGCATTACTGCTTCACGGCAGAAATAGGCAGGGTGGTGGTACCCACCCGCGCGGACTCACAAGAGGTCCTACCACCAGTAAAAGTAGTAGTAGTAACTTAATAGTAGCTTAAAATGCTCTCCCATCATTACTTAATATAGCAGTTAAGTGTAAGATTACTAAGATAAGTACGGAAATAAGCCTCTTATGATCAATGGAGACCATTATTACCTAATATCACGTTTCAAAGAGAATTACGCTTATTTATCAAATAGACGGACTAATTTGTTTAACGTAAAATTGCTTTACCTTAAAACAAAAATCTTTTAGAAGCACGAAGAAGTAAAAACAAAATCAAGGAAAACGTAGATATCTAAGCTCTTTGTATCTCGGTTTTCTGTGAATAAATTAATGCCTATGTAACTACAATCCCTTTGTACAGTAGAGAATTTAATCCGAGCGAAAAAAAAAAAAACTGGGCCATTAGTAAAGTAATTAGTATCGGAAG